GGTGAATGTGTATTGACAGCCGTATATTTGATTAATCGCACTCCATCTGGTATACTTGAAAATAAGACCCCGTTTGAAGTTCTTACTGGCAATGCTCCTGATTTTCGTCACCTGAGAGTTTTTGGATGTTTATGTTTTGCCTATAATCATAAATCCCGGGGTGATAAATTTACTTCACGTAGTAGGCGATGTGTTTTTCTCGGATATCCTCATGGCAAAAAGGGGTGGAAGGTGTGTGATCCTGAAACCGGTGACATTTTTGTTTCGCGTGATGTTCAATTTCATGAAGATGAATTTCCTTTTTCAAATGTTTCTGACACACGGTCTGAAAAGGATTTAGGAGATACATCACCTGCTTTGGATGTACCAGTACCATTGGTTGTTGATGATGAGGATTTGCGGCTTGACTCAGAATTGGGCAGCATGCCCAGCAATCCTCATGCCACTGCTGCGGACAGTAATACAGGCACTACTTCAATTACTACTTCCCCTGAGCATGAACACCTAGGCCGCGGTCAGCGTGAAAAACGCACGTCGGTCCTCACAAAAGCCCATCTCCGCTCACGCCGTCTCTCGTTGGTTCCTCAGGTACGCGTTATCCTATAGCTCATTATATGAACTGTGAAAAATTTTCCCCTCGCCATCGTGCTTTTCTTGGGGCTATACTTGCAGGTATGGAGCCCCGTTCTTTTAAAGAGGCCATGACTGACGCCGGTTGGCGAGATGCTATGCAGAAAGAAATACGAGCGCTGGAGGATAACCACACTTGGGTTATGACGTGATTGCCACCCGGAAAACGGGCTCTTGGATGTAAATGGGTATACAAAATTAAGTATAACTCTGATGGGACCGTTGAACGTCTCAAGGCCCGTCTTGTTGTGTTTGGCAATCATCAAGAGGAGGGCATTGATTATACAGAAACTTTCGCTCCCGTGGCGAAGATGGTCACCGTTAGAACTTTCCTTGCGGTAGTGGCTGCCCGTAATTGGGAGGTTCATCAGATGGATGTGCATAACGCTTTTCTTCATGGTGACCTCGATGAGGAGGTGTACATGAAGCTACCCCCCGGTTTCTATCCTACTCGTCCAGGTCTTGTTTGCCGTTTGAAGAAGTCCTTGTATGGTTTGCGCCAAGCTCCTCGTTGTTGGTTTGCAAAATTAGCAACTTCTCTCAAATCTTATGGTTTCACTCAGTCTTATTCTGATTATTCGTTGTTTATTTTCCGCAAGGGGGACGTTTCGCTGCATGTTTTGGTTTATGTTGATGACTTAATTATTGCTGGCAATGACTCTACTGCTATTTCTGCATTTAAATCATATTTGAGTACCTGTTTTCATATGAAGGATCTGGGTCTTTTAAAATATTTCCTTGGCATTGAGGTGGCTCGCAATCCAGAAGGCATTCTCCTTTGTCAGCGTAAATACACGCTGGATATTATCACAGAAGTTGGCTTACTTGGTTCAAAACCCGCGGATTTTCCTATTGAACCAAACCATACTTTAGCTCTTGCAACTGGTGATGTGCTCTCGGATCCGGCTTCCTACAGACGTCTGGTTGGGCGCCTTCTTTACTTATCTTTCACTCGTCCTGACATTGCATATGCGGTTCACATCCTGTCACAATTTATGCAGACCCCACGGAGGGACCATTGGTATGCTGCTCTCCGGGTGGTCCGGTATCTGAAAGGTAGTCCTGGCCAAGGTATTCTACTTACTACTACCTGTGATTTGACTATTACAGGTTGGTGTGATTCTGATTGGGCTAGCTGTCCACTTACTCGTCGTTCACTCACCGGATGGCTCGTGTTTCTTGGAGGATCTCCCATCTCCTGGAAATCCAAGAAACAACATACTGTATCTCGTTCTTCTGCCGAAGCGGAATATCGTTCCATGGCCTCTTTAACCGCAGAATTAAAATGGCTTAAAGGTCTGATGTCTAGTCTCGGTGTTCCTCACACTCGGTCTATGCTCTTGTTTTGTGATAGTAAGTCTGCTCTTCACATTGCTCAGAATACGGTGTTTCATGAACGCACTAAACACATCGAGGTAGATTGTCATTATGTACGAGATGCTATTCGGGACGGCTTGATCACCACTCATCATGTTGCTTCCCGCGATCAACTGGCCGATATCTTTACTAAAGCTCTTGGTAAACGGCAATTTTTATTTCTTCTCTCCAAGTTGGGCATTTGTAATCCCCATGCTCCAACTTGAGGGGGGCTGTTAGCATAACTATTTTGGGTCTTATTATGTAATTAGCGTTTACCTTTGTATAGCCTTAACAGCCCATGGGCCCATGTAATTACTTGTATAAATTATACTATTGTGATTAATGAAACCTAAGGCAATTAGCCTATTTTGAATGATATGTGAGAATCCATCAGTACCCCATCCCAAGTTCCAATATTTGGGACCAAAGTGGGTGGTTCCGGTCCCAGACCAGCCATTTTTTATAGCTTGAAATCAGGTAAAAAATTATAACGGTCCGAGATCGAGATCGGATTGTCTGTGTATTCGGAACCGACCCAGAACCCAATTAATATGGGTCAGACCCGGGCCTTGAAAAAAATGGGAAGGACCGGGCGGTCTCAGCTCAAAACCAAGACCGGACCGACCCAGGTCCACCCTTAATCGGAACCCTGCTAGAAGCTTTTATCTAATCGGTCTCTTATATTTGGTGTATCATTTCATATTTGGCCGTGGTGCGGGAGTACTATGTAATTAGATATCAAAGAATTATATGTTCTCTGATTAAACATGAATGGAGCCCAACCTTTGATCAGGTCCCCATTTTTCTTATTTTATACAGAGACGACACAGAGTATATGTAAAAATTAGATCATATGTCGGTGAAGTTAATTTACATATATGTCGTTAAAAGTTCTCACTAAGATGGAAAACTATCAAATAATTCCTCATACTATGCCGAAAAAGTCATTAGGCCCTCGTACTTTATAAACACTCAATTAAGTCTTCAAACTATTAAAAAACGTTCAATTAAGCCCTTTCGGTCGGTAAGTAACCGGTTTCCCGATTAAACCGTGACGACGGCGACGATGTGCTCGAACCCCCGCAACGGCGTCGGCCGGGAAACGGGTTACATTTAACCGGGCAATCGGTTACTTATCGACTGAAAGGGTTTAATTGAACGTATTTTAATAGTTCGAGAGCTTAATTGAGTGTTTGTAAAGTACGAAGGCCTAAGCAACTTTTTTGATATAATATGAGGGCTTATTTGATAGTTTTCTCCACTAAGATCGATCAAATTGTGACATTGATAAAGTTATTTATATTTATAATGCAACTCTTAAAAATTGGTAATATGTCTTTTTCTGTCTTTAATGGGTGCCATTTGCACCTCGCAATTGCGAGAGACAGCCATGTATACGAGTAATTAATATCATGAGAAATTAATATAATGAAAAAGGTAATTAAGAATTTAACATAAACCTCACGGTTCACTTAATTATTAAAGATGTTTACTATGACTTATTTCAGTACCAGACTAAACCGGACATTTTCAGACCAGACCAGATCGGACTTAGTCAGTTGTAAATTAAACAAGGATCGTACATCAATCAGATCAGATCAAAAAAATTGAGTCCAAGCAAAAAATTCTAAGTCATCATTCATTTGAAGTTACATCTTTAATTTTATATGAACTATTTGATGTGTAAAAATATGAGAGAAGCCCGGTAAGGCAGTAAGTTTTGATTAATTATTACTAGTCAAATATTACTGGTATTAACATGTAAAAAATGGTTCAAGTGCTTTTTTCAATTAGTAAATGATGTATTTATAAGGCTGTACACTTCAGGATCAAAATTAAGGTAAAGGAGTATGATCTCTTTAATGTGTCGGTAAATGGAATAACGATAGATTGCTTCGAAGTTGATTATCATTTCAAATTAACCAAGCCTTGAGTCACAAGGAGAGCCCGTTTGGTAATAGCCAAATCGTCTTTATTGGTTGACTCTGCTGAAATTTATGAAGTTCTGACTGATGTTTTTGTATTGGCTGATTCGATATGTGAAAAATTAAAATTTAAAATACATTTTATTAATAAAATAAAGAAAAAATTATATGAAAAAATAGCTAAAATAGCCTTCTACAATAACTTCAGCCAATACAACCAGAAAAGTAACTACAACCTTACTTTTTCTTATTATTACACAATTCAGTCCGTAAAACCAAAAGTTACATGTTTGGTGAAACGATTGACTTATAAGCCTGAAAAGCCAAAAATCATGGCTACAAAAAAGGCATGGAGATTGACCGATTGTCTTCTTGTTAACCCTACCTTTTCAGATGCCAAATAACTCATAAATATGTTTGAAAGTACACAAGAGTATGCAAGGATATTCAATGCTTCTAATGTACTTTTTAGACATCATTATCAAGGTACTATTTAATTGTTACAAATTACAATGTCGTAATATGGCCCATCATCATTGTCTCTAATTATAATATTAATTTTGTATAAATTATGTGAAACAGATCAAAAAATGGATAATAAAGTTATCCAAACTAAGTAATTACAATGTAGTAATGACAGCGAAGGTAAACCCTAAACTTGGTAATTATTTAAATAGTGAGCAATTATTGTATATTAAGCCTGTTTGAAAGCACTGGAATGGACTGAATCGACTGATTCTACTGAATAAAAAAAAGTAACTTCAGTCAATATAGTCATAAAAGTAACTACAACTTTACTTTTTCTTATTATTATACAATTCAACGTGTAAAATCAAAAGTTACGTGTTTGGTGAAAAAATTGACCGAAAAAAGATCGGTTTCACCAAGCGAGCTCTAAAGTAGTTGGTGTTCAACAAATAAAAAATGAATCTTTAAACGATTTGCTTCTTGCTTGCTAAGACAGGAACAGAAACAAGGTTTTGTCTATACCATGTCATGCAGCACAAGAAAGCATAACTTCAACTTTGATGAAAAGATGAACTATAAGTTTTATTCGATCTCCAAATGCATGTCCCCTAGAAATATGCTTGAAATCAGCAAAGAAACAAATATGTCTCAGTTTTTTGCGTAACAAATGACAATTCCTAGTCTTGCTCTTTTGAGGCTCTAAAAGTTCTCCTTTGCAATTTAGATTATCCTAACCCCTCCAATCACTTCCCATTTTCGTTCCCCTAAACCAAATTCATCCCATCAATGGCATTTCCATATTCCAGTCTTCCTCTCCTTTTTGCCTTCATTCTTTTACCTTCTTCCCCTTTAGTCTTATCCTCAATTGATGCGGTGGTTATCCCCTTACACCACTCCCAAACGCTCGAGGACATGATTACTCGGGCTTGCGACAATGTCGAAAATCGAGGATCATGTCTCGAAAATATACGCTCAAAATTAGAAAATGACAGTTATCATGACACTACATCGATCCTCAAAGCAGCCATGCATAACTCTCTTAGTGAGGTTAGGCTGGCCATGGATGCGCTCTCAAAGTTCACCACATTGTCCGTCTCCCCGAGAGAGCAAATAGCCATTAGAGATTGCCAAGAACTTCTCGACTTCTCGGTCACGGAGCTGGCTTGGTCGATGAAGGAAATGAGAGAAATGCGAACCAAGCATCCTACCACAAACCCGAGTTCTGAGGGGAACCTCAAAGCATGGTTGAGTGCTGCTCTAAGCAATCAAGACACTTGCTTGGAGGGATTTGAGGGAACGGACAAACGCCTAGTGAGTTTTATCAAGGGGAGCTTGACGCAAGTCACGCAACTGATTGGCAACGTGCTAAAGTTGTACGTCCAGTTGCATGAGTTGCCTTTCAAGCCCCTCAGAAACGAAACCTCGGATTTCCCGAGCTGGATGACGGAAGGTGATAAAGAGATGGTGGTGGGTTCGAAGGCGGGGATAGGTATGCATGTGGACGCGATTGTGGCGTTGGATGGGAGCGGACATTACAGGTCGATAGCGCAAGCGGTGTTTGCCGCTCCGAGTTATAGTAGGAGGAGGTATGTGATATATGTGAAGAAAGGGATATATCATGAAAATGTTGATATGAAGAAGAAGAAAACTAACATCATGCTTGTGGGGGATGGTATTGGAGTCACTGTTGTCACTGGTAATAGAAATTTCATGCAAGGTTGGACCACATTTCGAACAGCAACATTTGGTACGTAAAAATTATAGAAATTGCTCTAAATACGAGCAAAAACGTTTTGAAATTATAAAATAAGAGAATCATGTTTTTTATTCTTTGAATAGGAGTAATCTGCAAGTTTGGAAAAAAATGTCATGTTTTAAAGCCTAGTAATGCCAAACTTGGCAGAAATTTACTCATATTCAAGGAATAAAAAACACGATACTCCTATTTTGGAATTTCAAAACTTTTTTACTCCTTTTTAAGGAATTCTCTCAAATTATATTGTTTTCAAACGGTTTAATCGGAGAGATATTATGTCCTAAATGGTTTCCATTGTTCTATTACGTTTACATAGCCAATACATTGAAAAACTTATTTACCAAAAGCTCCGACTTTTACTATTTAAAAACCATTTTCCAAACAATACCAATTTTACTACTCAATATTTCTTGGGAGAACTATCAAATAAATCATCGAACTTTCATAAAAAGTGCAAATAAGCCCTTTTACAGGAGACTTTATCCGGCTGTCGCCATTTGGGAAGGTTTCCGGTGGAATTGTTCGATGAAATTTTTTGAGCATCTTCTTCATTAAGTCTAGTTTACCCACACAAAATTTCAGCTAAAAATTCAATCGAGAAGGCATTCAAATGATTTTCCGAAATGTACCGCGCTACTTAAGTGCGCAGTTATCTTCAAAAATTCATTTGACCGTCTTCCTGATTGAATTGTTAGCTGAAATTTGGTATGAGTAAACTAGACTTAATGAAGAACATGCTAAAAAAATCATCAAAAAATTCCACCGGAAACCTTCTATAAAAGAGCTTATTTGCACTTTTTTATGAAAGTTTGAGGGCTTATTTGATAGTTCTTCCATATTTCTTTCCTTTTCTGAAAAGAAATATGTTGCCTACACTATTTCACTTTATTATGTATACTCAAACTTGAACCACAACTTTTACTTTTTTCACCACTTTATTAATAATCGTGTCAAGTCAAAGTGAGACAGGACAGAAGTATATTTTTTTATAATCTTCAACACGAAGCACATTTTCAAAACCAATCACAAACCCTCTCTAATTCAAAAAGAAAATGTCTAATTATTACATGCACCTTAACTATTGTTATCATAATAATGGTGTTCCAGCTGTGTCCGGGAAAGGATTCATTGCAAGAGACATGACATTCCGGAACACCGCCGGCCCTCAGAACTTCCAAGCGGTGGCACTCCGAGTAGACTCCGATCAGTCGGCATTTTTCCGGTGCAGCGTGGAAGGCTACCAGGACACCCTATACGCCCACTCGCTCCGCCAGTTCTTCCGAGAGTGCTCAATCTACGGCACCATCGACTTCATCTTCGGCAATGGCGCCGCCGTGCTGCAAAACTGTCGGATTTTCACCCGGCAGCCGCTGCCACTTCAGAAGGTGACCATCACGGCCCAAGGCCGCAAAAGCCCAGACCAGGGCACCGGGTTCTCAATCCAGGACAGCTACATTTACGCTTCCCAGCCCACTTATTTGGGCCGGCCTTGGAAACAATTTTCCAGGACAGTTTATATCAACACTTTTATGAGCCGAATGGTCCAGCCCAGAGGCTGGTTGGAGTGGTACGGAGATTTTGCTTTGAATACATTATGGTATGGTGAGTATAGGAATTATGGGCCGGGCGCCTCGTTGGCCGGGCGGGTCAAATGGCCCGGTTATCATGTCATCAGGAATGCGCCGACGGCGACTTTGTTCACCGTGCAACGGTTCATCGACGGCATGTCGTGGTTGCCGTCCACCGGAATTAAGTTCTCGGCCGGTCTTACTAATAGGTGATGAATGAATGAATGAAGAGAATTAATAAGACGTTTAAAATGTTATAGGCTCTCTAGTTAAAATTATGTACCATTTCTTTACTAGTAATTTCATACATATGCACATGTATATGGTCTGCATTTCATTTTTTACTGTAACAAATCTCCACATTTAAAAAATCTGCTTCAAATTTTAGCACAGATATTACACAGTACGGTGTTTTCTATTTGAGAAAAGTAAAATCATAAATCAAATCGACTAGATTTGATCAAATTTGAGTTGGTTATATTCCATCAATTTTTGTTAGTTTTGTCACATCTCGAACATTTTTTAAAATCATATCCTCATTCTGTGAACTGAACCGTCCTACACGGTCTTCACTTCTCACTGATTTTCAGTTGAAGCCGTTTAGAGGTGTTTGGAAAATGACGGTTTGTCCCCTTTTAGCATTTTCACGAAGTGAAAACGATGTTTGGTAAATAGTTGTTCACCCTAACATTTTTTAATGGAATCACTAAAATGAAAGCGCTGCAAATAGGAGACAATTGAGGTCGGCGTTTTAAAATATGTCGTTTTCTACTACGTATTACTACCCTCATCCCGCTATGATTGTCCCATTTTATTTTATCGGTCCGTCCCACTAAGATTGTCCCATACCAAATTTGGTAAAGTTTGTGTGGCTATAAATCATTCTTACTTTATCAATTCAATAGTAACCACATAAATCACTTTTTATTAAATTGTGTGTCACTCCCTCTTGTCTCATTGTTAGCGGGACGGAGGGAGTAGTTATTATTATGATCAAACAACTAAACTATCAAACATCTTGTGACAAGTCATTGGCAACTCATCATTTTATTCTGCTAGTCAAACATGCTGACTGGATCCGCTATTGACAACTCATTATTGTAATTTCAGGGGCGGAGTCAGGGCACTGGACCAAACTGGATCGATACAAAGATTTTTTTTAGAAAAAAAATTAGACATATTTCTTTATACTAAAAAATAAGACATTTTTTTAATTTGGGGCGAGTCAGGCCTAGGCGGACCCCCTCTATCTTCGCTCACGCATAATTCGTTATTCGCTATCCGCTAAATGTCAAACACACTCTTAATTATACTCTAATCCCATTACTAAAATTGGTTTCAGTTGAAGCAAAACTACAACATTCTAAATAATTTTGTTTTTATGGCCATATAAAACTCTAATTTACTTGAATAATGAGGAAGAATAATAACATACAGTAAAAATAACAATATTAACAATTATTACACAAATTCCCTGCTAGAAATGGAGAAGCCCAATCTCGTCCCTGTTTCATAAGAATTTGTTCAGCTCGAACTCTTTTTTAGCCGGTGGGACGCGGGAGGTTAGCCCTTAAATCCAAGCATTCATCGGAATTGGCGCTTCTACAATAGTTTCGTAATCGAGATTTGCAGCAGCTTCAGGAGCCGGAGTAGGCGCCGGAGTTGGTGCGGAGGACGGAGGAAGACTGATAGATGATTGAGTGGGGCGGCGAGCTACATAATCATCCTTATCGTGAGATCCCATATCCTTGAAATCGTCATCGTCTACGTGCGAGTATTTCACCGATTTGTCTTTCTTCGGTGCCGTGTAAATCAGGCCGTGATTATAAGGAACGCCGGATTCCCGAATCCAACTATTCCCGGTGATGAATTTCCCGGCTGTGAACCGCTTGATTTGGCTCTTGGGAAGCTCCTTGATTCCGGCCCAATCGACCCGGTTCTCTTTTGAAGCTCCGGGTCCCCTGTTATTGAACTCTGTGTAGAACAGAGTCTCTAACCCGAAATCCTCCGCCCACGGCAACCATCCCTCCGGCTGGATGAAATCAGGGATGTACGATTCCATTATGACGGTTCTGGAGTACTCCTTCCATGGCCGGCCGAGGTACGATTTCAGGGTGAACCGGACGGGGAAATAAGCCGGGTCGGTCACAATGGTGCAGTTCTGCAGAACGAGCCCAGTGGGCTGGTGCGGGTCTTTTCGGCCCTGGGCCGTCACGATGTTCTGCTGATTGTCCAATGGCTTCCGGACCACAATGGTGCAGTTCTGGAGCACAGCGGCGCTGTCGCCGAAGATGAAATCAATGGTGCCGGAGATTTCGCAGTTCCGGTAGAACTGGCGGTAGGTGTGGGCATAGAGGGTGTCTTGGTAGCCGTCCATCTTGCAGTTGTAGAAGATGGATTTATCTGCGCCCACCCTCAGAGCTACGGCCTGGTGCTTTTCCGGCCCAGCGGAGTTCTCAAATCCGATGTCCCTGGCCATAAAATAATCTCCAAGAACAGCTGCATTCTCAAAAATGCCAATGTATGTTAGATAATTCAACTATTGCTATAAAGTCTTTATATCTAAATGTAAAAATTTAGTTTTACTCTAAACAAATTGCGAATCCAAGAAGATTGAAGGGAATGGCATGCTCATTTACTCACCAACGGTTGCGGTATGATAGGTGGAAATTCCATCGATGAAATTTAACCATCCTGTAATTTTTGTCTTGTTTGAACCATCGCCTATCATAGTGAGGTGAGTGATGTTGCGGTAAATGGTAACCTGCTCTTCATAAACGCCCTCTTTGATGTAGAGAACAAATGTTTGGTCACTTTTGATGGGAACATTTTTCAAGGCATCGTTGATGCTCGTGTAATTACCGGATCCATCCTTGGCGACGATGAGATTCGGTTTCACCTCATCGAGACTGGCAGTGAGAAGCCTACGCCTTCCTGAGTTGATCCAACCTGGGAGGTTTTCTCTATTATATGCGAGAAGACGGCGTTTACTCGCCTCGCTATTGGTAGGTCCGGCTTCGGCATCAGTGAAAAGGGAAGAGATTCCAGTGACCATAGCGAGCGCATTGCTGGTCATTTCCATGGATTTGGTTAGAAGTTCTCTCATACGTTTCTCTTCGTTCCCGGGGATTTCTTGGAAGCCGCTCAAGCACGTTTCCTGATACGTGAGAGAACCACTGAGCCAAGTCTTGAGGTCATCTAGCCAATTATCTAAATCCATCAAGTCGAAGTCTTTAAACTTTGAGAGAGTCCTTCGGAGATCATCTATCGCCTGATTAGCCAATTCCTCACAGTTCTCTAATGCCAACTTTGATCTCGGGTCATCCTTTAGATTCAAGAATAGGCTCGAATTTTTTATCGAAGCACGAATGTCATTGATCGTGACATTGAATGCTACTTGGATAAGATCTCTAGGATCTGTAGAATGTGTTGCATTTGAAGAAGATAAACTTTTGACACATGTTTCTTTATAGGTTGTAGGCTGGCACACGGCTTCAATGGCTTTCCGGGAGGCAACAATACTATCTTGACCCTCATTTTCGGCTTCCGAGTCCTGGCTTCCAATGGTAATAGCTACCACCATAGCTACCAACACCAAAGAACTCACCGCAAGGAAGGCTATGTTCCTGCCCTTTTTATTCTCCTCCATCTTTAAAGCTTCTTAATAATTAGTTTTCTTGAGGCTCCACGGAGAAGGCCAGGGCGGTAGTGGTTGACCCTCTCCTCTTGAATGCCTTGGGAAGAAACACTTACACGGTGGTGATTGGTGAAGAAGCTTTATAGCATTTTGTTGAAAATTAAAATGTTTTAGAGGCTTGGTGTAAAAAGAAGAAAATAATGAATTAAATTTAGACAGACTCTCCATTTGAATGGATTCCGTAATTGTAGTAGATGTATGGTATTCAGGTTTTTTCATGCGTTCTCCACTCGTATTAGGAAAACTAACATCACACAAACTAAAATAAAATATACGCCATAGGGTAAATAATCATATAAATATGTTACAAAATAGAACCTATCACCCATTACTATTAGAAAGGCAAAACAAATTACATCCACGAACCTGTTAGAAATAATAGAATATAACTACAGCACATTAACTTCTTAAAGCTAAAGTTCATAACATTTGGCTTGCCTTTTTAAAAGCAAAACACAAACAAAAATCTGGGTAGACTTAGGGGTGGACTCGGTTCGGGCAACCCGGCCCGGCCCGCTACTGTGCGGGCCCGGGACCGGCCCGGTCTGGCTGTCCGGGACCGGGTGTGGACCCGAACCAGTGGGGGAAGCGGGGGCGGGCTCGGTTCATGGAAAATGTGACCCGGGCCGGCCGGGTCGGGTCCGAGCCCGGGTCACAATGGATACATTTTAAAAAAGAAATAAATAAATTCTTTTGGGCCCATAGATGACCGTTGGGTAGGCTGGGGACAACCTAAACGGCTATATAGCCGTTGGGTGGGCTGCAGGGGGGTCTGGGGGGTTTGGGGGGTGGGGATTGGGGTGGGGTAAAAAAACCTATAAATACTCTTAATCTTAAATATTTTTCCATATCTCTTCTCCAATTCTTCCTAAATCCTACTCTTAACTCTCTACTCTCTAATTCTCTTATTCACCAATATATTATATTTATATATCTACTTTATATTAATTATCTACTTATAATTTATGAATACATACATTATATTACTTATATTTCTTATCTAATTATATATTACTTACACATTTATTATATCTATTAATATAGTTGGAATTATATCTAATTAATTTGAAGTCATTCTATTACTCATTTACTCCCATCCGAAAGACCGAAAGTCCGAAAGAGGTACGAAATCATTCTATTATTTACACTTGTTTAATTTTGTATTAACATTACTTGAAAAAAATTAGTTAATTCTCATTATAGTTAAAGTTAAACTATAATGATTTGATTGTTAATAAAAAAAATAGGTAGTACAAAAAACTAGTTGATTAGTTAATTAGTTTTCACATGAATTGTTTAATTTTTCATTAAAGTAGTTAATTACTTTATTACAATTTGTTATTAATTGCTACATTTTTTTAAATGGATCGTCCTAGATATTCGGTTGATATGGGTAACCTCGAGTGCAACCGAACGAAAGAGCTTGCGAGGAAGAGATCCTGCAAAGGTAAATCACATATCGGTTCTTCATCTCAAAGTCGAGATGATTTTGATACGGGTTACGCAAAGAGGGATGGAGATGCGATGACCGACGAACAACTAGAACAAGAATTGCACCGACATAATAGTCGCGTTTTTCAAGACCAACCGAGGACCATTGACGAAGAAGAGCTCGAGGACGATGATGTGGAGGAAGTGATTCCGGAGAGCCACGACGACGACGACGAGGAGGGTGGCGGCAGCCACGACGCCGACGAGACTGCCTCATCCCAAACCGGTACGAAAAAAAGTAAATCTGAACTAATGGCTAATAATTTTTCTAAGTGGAAGGACCCGAACACCGGGAATTGGACCGCAACTTGCAATTGGTGCAAGAAAAACTATAGCTTGGGGATTTCCGGCGGATACGGATCCGCCACAAGACACCTTAAATCCAAACACCCGGTGGAGTATGCAAAATTAGGCGGCGGAACGGGGAAGCAAACACAAATATCGAGGTTTGCAAATAACCAACAAACTTTTGGTAATTTCTCATACAATGATGCACAAAATTTGACAGGTATGGCTAACTTACTTGTTGAAGAAAATTTGCCTTATTTGTTTTCTGAAAGTCTTGCTTTTCGTGATTATGCACAAACTTGTTTAAATCCTCAATATAGAGGTTATAGTCGCAAACCGGTTAAGAAAGAAATTTCAAGGCTTTGTGGTGCGGAGAAGGTAAGGTTACAAAATTAATTTGTAAACTTTGATGGGCGTGTTACTGTATGTTCTGACATATGGGAGTATGCTTATCATAATTTACATTATTTGGTTCTGAATGTACATTATATTGATAATGATTGGCATATGCATAAAATATTATTCACATATTCCGCATATTTATGGTATTGCATTTGTTCTCGATCCTCGTTTTAGACTTGGTTCTTTAGAAGAATGTTTAAATTATTATGCTGCTTTTTTTGGTCCAATGCCAATGTATGAGGACAACCCAATTGATCCGAAAAAAGAATACAGCGAGGTTAGTGATATATTTTATGCATTATTTAATGAGTTTCATGCATAATATGGCAATGCGCCCCCTCCCCCGACACAAACATCATCTATAAGAAAATCAATTTTCTAATCTACATTTGCCAATCTTATTAAAAAAACGAAATCAACTCCCGCTACGCAACAAAGCACAATTAATGAAATTTCTTTCTATATAACATATGATGTTGATTTTGAAGAAGATGATTTTGACGTACTAAACTGGTGGAAGGGAAAAGAAAGAATGTTCTCGGTTTTAGCAAAGATGGCTAAGCAAGTGCTATCAATGCCGGTTTCAACGGTTGCCGTGGAACAAGAATTTTGTTCGGCCGGCAATGTCCTAACGCAATGTAGAACGAGGTTGGGCGCAGAATCTCTTGAGATGCTTATATGCTACCACGATTGGTTGAAAACGACCCATAGAGCTCAAGAAATTGACATCACCCCATCCCAACACTTTATGAATGAATCTATAACCGAGGGTGGCTCTACCTATGTCGGAGATTCCGATTGATTAGTATTTCATGTTTTATATTTACCTTCAATTCTCAATTGTAACTTGTAAACTTGTAGTTCATATTTCAAATAAATATACGTTCATTTTTTTATATGTAGCATTTTTTACTGAATTCATAAAATTAATTAATTAATTTTACATTATGTAATTTATTCAAACTAAAATATACAAAAAAAATTGAAATCAAAAGCCCCAAACGGCTATATAGCCACTTTGATAGTTTGGTTGTTTGAAATTTGAATCAATAGAGGCATAGAGCCGTTGGGGGTGGGGTGGGGGTGGGGGTGGGTGGGGGTACAAAAAAATCTATAAATACTCTTATTTTCTAACATTTTTATACACATCTTCTCCAACATCCAATCTTTAATCTCCATTCTCCATCTTCATCTCCATCTATTGTAGAATTATTATATCTACCATTTTTAAGATTAAAATTCAATATGTTGTTGTACGGTATAATTTTGATAAGCAGAAGGACCCAAGGACCGGGATGTGGTACGCAACTTGTAAATGGTGCGGGGAAAAGTGTAGCAAGAGGGTTTCAGGCGGATACGAGATCGCAATGAAGCATATTAAGTCATGGTACAAAACCAAAGGATCGAAAGGTGCGGGAAGTTCCGATTGATTACAATTTACAAAATGTATTTCATATTGTATGTTTATCTTAATTTTCAAATGTAGTTCCTATTTCATTTCAAATAAATGCATTTGAAATTTGTTTTTAATACTTGTATAAAACTATAAAGTACTATCTCCGTTCTGTTTTAATTGCAACATTTGACTTTTTACATTATTCACATGTTCTAGTTTAACTACTCCCTCCGTTTCTTAAAGAAGTTTCACCTTTCCTTTTCGGGGAGATTTAAAATTAAGTTCCACTTTCAAACATTTCCTTATTTGGCAAATTATCTACATCAAAACAGTGTCAAACAGTGTCAAACAGTGTTCAAACAGTGCCAAACAGTGTTTAAACAGTGCCAAACAGTGCACTCCACAGTAAATTCAAATTTATTTTCTTAATATGTGTAAAGTCAAATGTGGAACTTGTTTCAGAAACGGAGGGAGTATATTTTATTTATTAATGTATTATAAATTAAATTTTTAAAAAATATTTTTAAATTCTTCTCATTTTAAAATCTCAATATCTGATTTTTTTAATTTTTTACTAATAAGGAACGAAAGATAATAATGGTCAAACTTGTGCGTTAACATGCGTGAAAAGTTGAACGTTGCAATTAAAAAGGAACGAAGGAAGTATAAATTATAAAAAAAATAGTTTTAACCAGCCCGGCCCGGAAGAAGGCTCGAACCCGTGGCCCGGGCGGGTGGCCCAGCCCGAACCGGACCCGTCCAAACCTCGGGCCGGTCCCAGGTCCATGAGTTACAAACCGCCGGCCTGACCGGGCCTAGGCCTGGCCCAACCCGGCCCGAGTCCATGCCTAGTAGGGGTGGATTCGGGCCGGGTCGGGCCCGGTCGGGCCGCCGGTTCGTATCACATGGGCCCGGGACCGGCCCGAGGGTTGGACGGGTCCGGTTCGGGCCGGGCCACCCGCCCGGGTCACGGGTCGGGCCACCCGCCGGGCCGGGCCGGGTCGGTTAAATAATTATTTTTAATTTATATTTTATACTTTATAGTTTTATACAAGTATTAAAAAACAAACTTCAAGTGCATTTATTTGAAATGAAATAGGAACTACATTTGAAAATTAAATAGCAACTATAATTGTTTTTAAAACATAAAATACTAATCAATCATTCAATATTTCAATCGGAATCTCCGGCATAGGTAGAGCCATCCTCGGTTGTAGATTCATCCATAAAGTGTTGGGATGGGGTGATGTCAATTTCTTGAGCTCTACGGGCTGCTTTCAACCAATCGTGGTAGCATATAAGCATCTCAAGAGATTCAGCGCTCAAGCTCGTTCTGGTTTGTGTTAGGACATTGCCGGCCGAACTAAATTCTTGTTCCACGGCAACCGTTGAAACCGGCATTGATAGCACTTGCTTAGCCATCTTTGCTAAAACCGGGAACATTCTTTCTTTTCCCTTCCACCAGTTTAGTACGTCAAAATCATCATCTTCTTCAAAATCAACACATAAGTTAAATACAAAGAAATCTCATTAATTGTGCTTTGTTGTGTAGCGGGAGTTGATTTCGTTTTTTTAATAAGATTAGCAAACGTAGATTAGAAAATTGATTTTCTTATAGATGATGTTTGTGTCGGGGGAGGGGGCGCATTGCCATATTGTGCATGAAACGCATTGAATAATGCATAAAATATATCACCAACCTCGTTGTATTCTTTTTTCGAATCAATTGGGTTATGCTCATACATTGGCAATAGACCAAAAAAAGCAGCATAATAATAATTCAAACATTCTTCTAAAGAACCAAGTCTAAAACGAGGATCGAGAACAAATGCAATACCATAAATATGCGGAATATGTGAATAATATTTTAAAAACTTTTCCTTCATAAAACTAGCAAAATAACTCACATAATCAGCATTCTCAAAATTTGAAAAAGCACCGGCGAGATTAACAGCTTCACGAATAAATTGGTTTGAGGTAGGTTTATAAACATGACTAAAAGTTTCAGTTGCATTATTAAAATATATCAAAGCATTACAAATTTTTTCACATGTGTCGATCTCAGCCGAGTTTATAATATAGTTATCATATTGTTTCATAAAAGCAGGAAAATGTTGTTTATATCTAAGAAGAACTCCAATTAACTTATAGGTACTATTCCAACGAATAGACAAATCTTTAGGAAAAACCACATATCTCTCACCTCTTTCTATCAAATAATCATGCCATTTTTTTCTAAGTTGTCCATTACCCCAAATACGTCTAATCCCCCCCTTGACTACCTCCAACGATGCTCCCAACGCTTTTAGACCATCTTGCAAACATAAATTTAGAACATGACATGCACATCGTTGATGAAAAAATCTACCCATCAAAGAAGTAGAACCACACAATTCACGCAATCTAGGAATAGCAGCAGTATTATTAGTAGCATTATCAAAACCAATAACAAACACCTTATCAATTAAATTATACTCAATTAAAATACGCTCAATCAAAATATAAATATAATCAGCGGTGTGACGATCATTAAATTCACGGAAAGCAAGAACACGTTTATGCATATGCCAATCATTATCAATATAATGTACAGTCAGACCCAAATATTATAAATTATGATAAGTATCCTCCCATATGTCAAAACATACAGTAACATGTCCATCAAAGTTTGCAAAATAATTTTGTAACCTTACCTTTTCCGCACCATAAAGCCTTGAAATTTCTTTCTTAACCGTTTTGCGACTATAAACTCTATATTGCAGATTTAAACAAGTTTGTGCATAATCACGAAAAGCAAGACTTTCAGAAAAAAAAATAAGGCAAATTTTCTTCAACAAGTAAGTTAGCCATACCTGTCAAATTTTGTGCATCATTGTAAGAGAAATTACCAAAAGCTTGTTGGTTATTTGCAAACCTCGATATTTGTGTTTGCTTCCCCGTTCCGCCGCCTAATTTTGCATACTCCACCGGGTGTTTGGACTTAAGGTGTCTTGTGGCGGATCCGTATCTGCCGGAAATCCCCAAGCTATAGTTTTTCTTGCACCAATTGCAAGTTGCGGTCCAATTCCCGGTGTTCGGGTCCTTCAACTTAGAAAAATTATTAGTCATTAGTTCAGATTTACTTTTTTTCGTACCTGTTTGGGATGAGGCTGGTTGGTCGGCGTCATGGCTGCCGCCACCCTCCTCCTCCTCCTCCTCGTCGTGGCTCTCCGGAATTACTTCCTCCACATCGTCGTCCTCGTCCTCGAGCTCTTCTTCGTCAATGGTCCTCGGTTGGTCTTGAAAAAAGTGGGAATTATGTCGGTGCAATTCTTGTTCTAGTTGTTCATCGGTCATCGCATCCCCATCCCTTCTTGCGTAACCCATATCAAAATCATCTCGACTTTGAGATGAAGAGCCGATATGTGATTTACCTTTGCGGGATCTCTTCCTCGCAAGCTCTTTCCTTCGGTTGCGCTCGAGGTTACCCATATCAATCGAATATCTAGGACGATTCATCTAAAAAAGGTAGCGATTAATAAAAAATTGTAAAAAACTAATTAACTATTTATGTAACTATTAAATCGAGTTATAGCAAATTAACTAGTGAATTAACTAGTTTTGTGTACAACATATTTTTTAAACTAGAGTCAAATGTAGCAATTACTAAAAAATTGTAAAAAAGTAATTAACTATTTATCTAACTATTAATTCGAGTTATAGCAAATTAACTAGTGAATTAACTAGTTTTGTGTACAACATATTTTTTAAATTAGAGTCAAATGTAGCAATTAATAAAAAATTGTAAAAAAGTAAATAACTATTTATCAAACTATTAATTCGAGTTATAGCAAATTAACTAGTGAATTAACTAGTTTTGTGTACAACATATTTTTTAAACTAGAGTCAAATGTAGCAATTAATAAAAAATTGTAAAAAAGTAATTAACTATTTATCTAACTATTAATTCGAGTTATAGCAAATTAACTAGTGAATTAACTAGTTTTGTGTACAACATATTTTTTAAACTAGAGTCAAATGTAGCAATTAATAAAAAATTGTAAAAAAGTAATTAACTATTTATCTAACTATTAATTCGAGTTATAGCAAATTAACCAGTGAATTAACTAGTTTTGTGTACAACATATTTTTTAACCTAGAGTCAAATGTAGCAATTAATAAAAAATTGTAAAAAAGTAATTAACTATTTATCTAACTATTAATTCGAGTTATAGCAAATTAACTAGTGAATTAACTACTTTTGTGTACAACATATTTTTTTAAACTAGAGTCAAATGTAGCAATTAATAAAAAATTGTAAAAAAGTAATTAACTATTTATCTAACTTTTAAACTAGAGTCAAATGTAGCAAATTAACTAGTAACTAAACAAGTGTAAATAATAGAATAATTTCGTACCTCTTTCGGACTTTCGGTCTTTCGGATGGGAGTAATAGAATGACTTCAAATTAATTAGATATAATTCCAACTATATTAATAGATATAATAAATATATAAGTAATATATAATTAGATAACAAATATAAGTAATATAATACTATTTATATCTATTTATAGTTTATATAAGTAGATAATTAATATAAACTATAAATAATAAATATAATATATTGGAGAATGGAGAATAAGAGAATTAGAGAGTAGAGAGTTAAAGAATAGGATTTAGG